TGGACTGCGACTGGTAGGAAAACAAAGAGATTCATCCTGGAGAGGGTTAAACTGGGTTGCTTCATGGAGGCAAGGATTTTGAGGCTCTAACATACTTTGGACATGTTGTGAGGAGGGACAGGTCCTTGGAGAGGGACATCATGCTTGGGAGGGTGGAGGGACGGCGCAGGACGGGAAAGTCCTCTATGATGTGGATTGATTCAGTGACTGGGATAATCGGAATGGGAGTGTCACAGACAGTGCGATTGGCACAAAATAGAGCAGGGTTTAGGGCTGTTGTACATAGCGTCTCTATGAACAAGAACAACAACAACATCTTTACTATATAACTTATTCGTTGTTTACTTCAAATTCCAAATCAAGATTTTTCTCCTAAGTCAGCTTTATTTTTTTCTTCTATCAATGAAGTTACCAAATTTTATCAGCTCAAAGTTATTATTAAACTTAATACAATAAGACAACAAACAAACAACAGTAACAAACTTAAACAAAAAAAAAACAAAATAGTCAACACAAACGGAGGCTTTTGCTTTGAGCCTTGAAACCCTTTTTTTTTTTCTTTTTCAAAATCATGTAGTAAGTGTAAATAATATTCTGGGAAGAGCACTGTTTGGATCAATACATGGAAATTAAGAGAAAATAATAATTCAGGACTGCAACCTCTTAGACTATTTTTAACGGTGGCATAGGTTATTTCCTGCCCTCAGCTTTAACCTTCTCTAATGTAATATCACTCAATTTATATTCATGCAAAGATTTAGCCATCTCTCTATGCAACGTTCTTTCATTATGAGTACAATCTTGCCCAAACATCAGTACTATTCTTTTTTCTTTTCTTTCTTTTTTTTTTTTTTTTGCAAGGGCAAGAGGGAATATATTTCAGATTCGAATCTGGGCCAAGCTCCAAACCGTGCTACTACAGCAGGGAAAATGGCCGTGGCACATCATTACTATTCTTATCAGGGTCCACAGTGGCCAAAAAGGAATAGGAATTTGTTCTTTATGTGCTCTTCGTAAGCCCCTCATAACAGTATACCAAGTATTTTGAGTTTTTTTAAAAAATTATTATTAATTTCAGTGAAAATGTACAGACTTTGGATTTCCATTGTCATTGTTGTACTTTTCTCCCCTTCCAACCCTCCCCCTTAGTACAATTCCCTCTTGAAACAGTAAAAGAAAAATTCTTTCATTGTTACAAACACTTCCCCAGGTCCACTCTGCATTGGAGCCTTCAATTTGGACTCCTGTCATGAAAAAATACCTAATCACATATCCCTATTAAACAGTTTTCTTCCATGTTTCAATGCAGAATACATTATTTATCCCATCTTTCTCAGTCTACCCCAAACCCTGATGTCAGTCCTGTTTTACAACAGTGGCACCATGCAGTATTTGTCCTTTTGTGACGGAGATAATTCACTCAGCATGTCCTCCAGGGACACTCATTTCGACTATTGCATGAGTTCCTTGTTTTTAAATGCAACATAGTATTCCATTGTGTGAATATACCACAGCTTCTCTATCCATTTGTCAGTTGTTGGGCACTTAGGCTGTTTCCAACTCCTTGCTATTGTGAACAAAGCTGCAATAAACATGGGTGTGCATATATCTGCTTGGGTGTCAGTTATGGTCTCTTTGGGGTGTATTCCCAGTAGTGGAATTGCTGGGTCAAATGGTATTTCTATTTGCAACTTTTTGAGAAGGCACCATACTGCCTTCCACAGTGGTTGCACTATTTTACACTCTCAGCAACAGTGAATAAGGGTTCCAGTTTCTCCACAACCTCTCCAGCATCTGTTGCTTGCTATTCTGTTAAATTTTGCTATTCTGACTGGGGTGAGATGTGACCTCATGGTTGTTTTAATTTGCATCTCTCTTAGAGTTAGGGATTTTGAACTTGTCTTCATGTGCTTGTTAGCCATCTTAATGTCTTCTTTGGTGAAGTGTCTGTTCATATCCTGTCCCCATTTTTCTATTGGATCATTTTTCTTTATCTCACTGTTGTATACCAAGTTTTAAGATTTGACTACTTTTCCCCTCCTGCAATGTTACCATAGAAACGGGAACAACTGCAAAAATTACTTTTACTTTTACCCCTGAGCTCCTAGTTAGTTCTTTAAGAAAGAACTATATTGAGCTTCAGAGGATGGGGCGTCCCTCATCTCTCTTTTTTTCAATTCTACCTCTGAATTTTTAATCTGTTTTCAGTGGGTGGGTATAGTTCCCATGAAATTTTTTGCTTAACTTCCTTTAAGGGGTGAGAGGACCCTCATGAAATTTTAATAATTCTATCCTTCACCTCCACGGAGTAAAAATTTTCTCATGACCCTGTTTTACTTTTCCCTAACGTTTCACTTACCCTGAGTGAGGAAGAAAGACAACACCTTATTCAAATATAGGCCAGCACCTTGTCCCTGTTTGGGCACCAGAATGTAGCAGACTGAGGGTAAAGTATTTTTGTAATTATTAGTAATGCGACAGACAACCAAGAATGAGATAGAACACAGAGCTTAAAAAACAGGGAGCCAGCAGTTCCCATGACTAAAGGCCTCAAGCTATGTCTCTATGAGTATTTATTGAGAATCATAAGGAAGGTAAACAAAGGTAAATCATAAGGGAGTATAAAACAAAAACAAGGGATCATGGGGAAGTTTTATGCACTTAAGGCAAAGTTCCTCTCTATTGTTTACTTTATGCTTATCTCAGGAGGGAGAGCTTCACTAAATACAAACTAAGAACAAGGCTGACTCTTAAGGAATGCCTGAGTACCAGGGGATGAATTCGATCTTGTATAAAGTCTCCCTCATATCCTGATACAGCATTTTGTTTATAATGAATATTAAATTTGATATTCGGCTTCCCACACACACGATCACCAATTCAGAGACTTAAAAAGTCAACTTTACACTATAAAAAATTAGCTGATGAGTGATTAATTTAAAAACTTTCATTTGATAACGTATTACCATAGATGGTAAGTTGAAAAAGGTACAAAACACATTAGCTCTCATATTTAATATACTTTTACAGGGAAGACTAATGGCTCTGTAAGAATAATTCTAATCTGGAACTCCAACAGTAATCAACAATGAAAAAGGAACCCCACACTGAAAAAGAAATACATTCCATATCCTAACCCTGTGAGAGGGTCAGCTAGAGGTTGATTCCAAATCGAAGCAAAAACAAGAACATGCCCTTTCTCACCTGGTCAAAATAAAAAAACTAGGCTACTTTCCAATGGGTAGGCTTTTTTGCAATGGGTGCATACATTAAATCACAGATTTAAAAAAACTGACATTGTTTCCTGCCCACAGGTCAAGTGGACCCATAAGAACGCTATGCACGGAAGTTCTGAATTCGTCTCTATCCTGAGCCTATCTCACTGTGTCCCACACACCTGCCTCTATCACTCCAGGCACTGAGTTAATCCATCTCATCCAGGGTCTTCCCATCCTACCCTGTTCCTCCACATTCTCAAGCATAACATCCGTCTCTAAAGACTGGTCCCTCCTGGCTACATGTACAAAGTGAGAAGAGCCTCAAAATACTTGTCTCAAAGGAGCAGCTGAGTTTCACCAATTGCTGGACAGACCTGTTAATTCTCTTGGAGGTCCACAGTATGTTAAATATTCTTCTCAAGCACCACAACTCAAAGACAGCCATGAATCGTCTGTCACAATACACGGACCAGTGCACATAAAGGAACGCACGACCAACTCAGGTACTCAGAGTCCTCAAGCAGTTGAAACTATAAACAGGGGTCTCCAGAGAAGCAGAGGATGCCGGCCTCGGAGGAAGTCATGGGTTAAGAGATAGACCATGTGAACGTGGGAACAGCACACTTGCACTCAGGACCGGAGACTGTGTGTCACCTTCGAGAGGTTCATGTCAAATGCAAAAGCAGAAGTTTATGTAACTGGGATTTGCAGCCAGAGCCAGGACTCGAGGACCACAGAGAAGAGTTCACTAGCTCCATGGCATATTAGAAGGACAAGAGGTGGTGTTGAAATTATTTCCTTCTCCGCTGAAACCATGAGCACTTATCCTCTTGCTTCTATGACAAGTTCAAGGCTTTTATTCAATAATAGCTGTATCTTTTGAGGGAGTCCAGCTGCTGATGGGCTCATTTTAGCACAGTCTACACTCCCAGCAGTGAACATCTTTCTCGTCCATCTACTGATCAGATAACTTGGTGAATACTGTGGATTTGGAGGAGGCCAGGACACTTACGGATACTGGGCACTGTCCACACAAGGTCTGCTGTGAAACTAACCGTCCATAATACCAAGTAGAACATTAGCAAGCTCGCAATGTACAGAGGAGCAAAAACAGTTCCGTTTGTGTGGGGAAACAATAAAAGAGAAGGCATTGATGAAACAATATTCCATGTACAAGTGAGATCTTTATTAATTGTGTGGTAGATATCAATTGTAATCCTCAAAATCTGTGAAATGGCATCTCCCTGGTTGTATTATCTATGGCATTATGAGTAAGATTCAATGACTTATCCCTTTAACAACGAAAAATTTTAATTTGAAACACAGGAAACAATAAAATGGTTTCCAAACGTCCAGAGGGGCAATACAACGATTACAGTGTCACCATGCTGCAAAAATAGATACAGCTTCGACAAACACTGAAGGATTCTTATGTGCACAAATAAAAAATCACTCACTTTCCAAGATACAACAACAGTTTTCCTATAGGAAATGATCAAGAAGACTAACTGCGTCTTAGTTTCCTTCATCATCTAGTCTGAGTGGTCAGGTGCCCAGTGAGGGCAGAGGATGGAGTGAACAAACACCTGAATTCCTTGCATTCACACAGCTTGTCTGCAGAGTGAGGATAAACATGTCCAGAGAGGAGGGAATAGATCAAGTATGTTCTACACTGGTCACATTCCTGTGAGGTCTGTGCTGTGTGAATCCATCCTTACATGGCCTGATGCCATCTGACTGTGGAAAAGGTTGCTCCACATTCCTTATATTCAGGTGGTCTATCCTCGGGGACCTCTACACGGATAATTCATGCACATGGGTTGCTAAATCTTTCCCTCCAATTCTTGCGTTCTTAAATTCGCTTTCCTGTCTGACTTTTTATGTCTACTAAAGTGTGCTGTGAAGATGTTTTCCCACATTTCTGACATTCCAAAGATTTCTCTTCTGTGTGAAATCTTCTATGGTTGATGAGGGAAAATGATCGTCAAACACCTTCAGCACACTCCCTGACATTCCTAAAATTTTCTCCTGTCTGAATGCCTTTATGTACAGTGAGGATGAAGGCAGGAAAACTAATTTCCATACTCCTGACATTCAGTTCTCTCCTGCCATCTTTACGATTTACAATTAAGCTGGAAGGCAAAAAAAAAAAGTTTCCTCACATTCTGTACATACCTAAGGTCTCTCACCTGTGTGACTATGTCTACGCTTTTTGAGAAACCTTGACTCTCAGAAAGCATTCCCACATTCTGAACATTGCAAAAGTCTCCAGTGTGAATTCTTCTGTGCCAAGAGGTAAAGTGCTTGGGCAAAGGTTTTCCCCCATACATTACAATCTTAAGTTTTGTCACTTGTATGAATTATATGTACACTGAGGTCACTTGATTTAATAATGCTTTTCCACATTTCTTAAATTCAGAAGGTTTCACTCCTGTCTGAATTCTTTTATGTGCAGTGAGCTGAAAAGATCATGAAAATGTTTTCCCACAGGCTTGACATTCAAAATTATTTCTCTCTTATGTGACATCCGAGTCAAGAGAGGTGAGGTGATTGGGCAAATGTTTTCCCACATTCCTTGCATTGCTAAGTTTTCACTCCTTTGTGAATTCTTCTATGTTGGGTAAGGAAACTGATCGGGCAAAGGTTTTTCTCACGTTCATTACATTCATAAGCTTCCACTCCCGTCTGAATTCTTCTATGTTCGTAACGGAAACGGATTGGGCAAAAGTTTTCCCACACTGCTAACATTCATACGGTCTCTCTCATATGACGCTTTCTATATTCAGTCAGATGACTTGATTGCAAAAATGTTTTCCCACATTCCTGACAATGGTAAGGTCTCTCTCCTGTGTGAATTTTTGTACGTCATGTTAGCTGACTTGTTTGGGAAAATGTTTTTCCACATTACTGACATCCTTAACGTTTGTTGTGTAAATTTGTTGATTTCTTAGTTAGTCTGGGTTGCGAAACGTTTTCTCACATTCTTGACATTTGTAAGGTCTCTCTCCTGTGTGAATTCTTTGGTGTTTTCTTACTGTGCTAGTGTCGAGAAAGGTTTCCACACATTCCTGACACTCATAAGGTCTCTCACCTGTGTGAATTCTTCTAGGTACAATGAGGTAATTTGAAAGCAAAAATGTTGTCCCACATTCCTGATGTTCATACAGTCTCTCCCCTGTGTGAATTTTTCTATGTACAATGAGGTAATTTGAACGCAAAAATGTTTTTCACATTGCTTACATTCGTAAGATTTCACTCCTGTATGAATTCTTTGATGTGAAGTGAGCTGACCTGACTGGGAAAATGTTTTCCCATATTCCAGACATTCAAAAGGTCTCTCTCCCATGTGAATTCTTCTATGTTGACAGAGGTGAGCTGGCAAAAGTTTTCCCATATTCCTTATATTCATATGGTTTCACTCTTGAGTGAAGTCTTCTATGTTGGGTAAGGCTAGCATGATAGGGAAACGTTTCTCCCACATTGCTCACACAGAGAAGGTCTCTCTCCTGTGTGAATTACGTGTACAGACTGTGAGTGGACTTGACTGGGAAAATGATTTCCCACAACCCTTACATTCATCAGGTCTCTCACTTGTGTGAATTCTCCTATGTACAGTGAGGGCATATGAACGCGAAAATGTTTTTCCACATTCCTTACATTCATAAGGTCTCTCTCCTGTGTGAATTCTCCTATGTACCGTGAAGTTATCTGAACGCAAAAATGTTTTTCCACATTCCTTACATTCATAAGGTTTCTCTCCTGTATGAATTCTTTGATGTGAAGTAAGCCGACTTGATCGGGAAAATGTTTTCCCACATTCCAGACATTTGTAAGGTCTCTCTCCTGTGTGAATTCTTCTATGTGTAGAGAGGTTACTTGAGCGGGTAAAGGTTTTCCCACATTCCTTACATTCACAAGGTTTCACTCCTGTGTGAATTCTTCTATGATGGGTAAGGCTAGATGGATAGGGAAACGTTTTCCCACACTGGTCACACTGGTACGGTCTCTCTCCTGTGTGAATTCTTCTATGTTTAGAGAGTATGCTTGAACTGGTAAAGGTTTTCCCGCATTCCTTACATTCACAAGGTTTCACGCCTGTGTGAATTCTTCTATGATGGCTAAGGCTAGATGGATAGGGAAACGTTTTCCCACACTGATCACACTGGTAAGGTCTCTCTCCTGTGTGAGTTCTTCTGTGTATAGTGAGCTGACCTGACTGGGAAAATGTTTTCCCACAGTCCTTACATTCATAAGGCTTCTCTCCTGTGTGGATTCTTGTGTGCACAGTAAAATGACCAAGGTGACGGAAACTCTTCATACATTCCTTGCATTCATAACATTTCTTCTGTCGACCTCCATGAACTCGTCCACGTCTTTTGAGGTGACTGGATTCTAAAGCTGCTTTCGTACCTTCCTTGCGTTCACAGGGTATCTCTCCTGTGCGAATCTGAGTATGCTTAATGAGGTGATTTGATTGAGAAATGGTTTTCTCACCTTCCTTCCATTCAAAAGGCTTCTCTGCTGAGTGAATTTTGGCATGGGCAGTTAAATGGCCGAGCCGAAGAAAGCTATGCCCACACTGGTGACATTCATAAGGTTTCCCATCTGTGTGTGTTCTTGCATGTCTCCTGAGCCATGAGAAATAACGAAAAGATTCTCCACATACCGGACATTTATAAGGCTTCTCTACACTGTACGACTTTCTCTTGATGGTGAGGTCTGATGGACTCATAAGGGGGTCAGATGAAGCAAAGTGTTTCTCATTTCCAGTACAATTGGAAGGCTCATTTACATCACTAAATGTTTCTTGAAAATCTAAAGAGAAAGGATTCCTATAGATTTTACCATATTCTGTAGTTTCATGTTCATCTACTACATGTATCCAAAATGAGGAGAAAGTACAAAAATCTTTCTCACATTTCTTACACGCATAGCTGCTTTCACCAATGTCGGCCCTCAAGAGGTTCACATCTACACGGTTGCAGGAATAATTTGGAAATCTGATGCACAGTTTGTCAGGGTGATTTTCTTCACTCCGTTCGCACAGTTCTTCTGTTGTTACTCTTCTGGGAAAAAGAGACAACACACAGTTGTAACAAAGTGTGTTCCTATGTGCCCACAATACAACACAATGAAGATGCATGAGTTTAACATCTCAGAGTCTTACACTAAGTAATGTAGCAAAACTACTATACCTGTAATTGCTTTTAACTATTATGAGACTTTCTGATAGGTGTCTCCAAAGATTAAGATGTTTCTAATGTCCACTTGCCCTACAGAGGTAACTTGTGGTGGCTGTGAATCCAAATGCACTGACACTGGTGGGTCAAATGTGTTTATAGTTACCCATGCTGGACAGTGTTTGGGGGAACTTCCCAATTAAAACAAGCTTGGAAGAAGGAGTGGCATTCACTTCCGTAATAGCTTGCCTCCAGAAACCCTATGAATCCGGAGAAAGGATGAAAGTCACACAAGTGTTGAGGACTTTCGTTCATAGGGTCACGCTGAGTCACCTACAACTCGAGGGCACTTCACAACCACAAAAAAGAGTATCTGGTTTTCCTTCCCCTCGCTTTCATGACACTCACCTCCATTCGGCCTCTACAATATTATGTTGATCTTCTTTGCCACACAATTTGAACATTTTTGCTAACATGGAATGCCAGGGATGGGTAGTCCTCAAGAATGTCAACTGAGTACTTTCAGGGGATAATGCTTCTCCGTCATGAATAATTTCAAGGCCTGCCAGAACAAGGAAGATAGTTTTGACAACATAAACGAGGGGAGGGGGAAAAAAAGAAAGTAAGAGAGGTTAGGATGCTGTCGATACATAGTCATGTGGGTTCATTTTTCAGTTTCAGCACTTTGACGCTAATTAGCAACAAATTCCCTAGGAAGCCCTTCTGGAACAAATGAAAAACAGTGTGGTCTAACGACATAAGTGAGTTTCCTCCAGGGGGATAAATAAAAAGATGTCCCACACAGAAAACACACAACATCACAATGTATAGTACACACATTACGATACACAGTATACATGTAATATCACAGTATATTCACATGACACACATCACAGGAAATAAAAGTGGCTCCAGGACCAGCGTGCTGATGAACAAAGTAGCATGCAGTCACCAGAAAAAAGACATTTTTTGGACTTAGTCGGTAAAATTGCTACTTTCTAAATGTGCAGAACACATGTAGCAAACGAAAAATTTCATACAGCTTCCAAACACAAATGAGTATCATACTCTACAGCCCCACAGAATAGTCTTGAATTCTGACCTATAAAGGTGATGTGTACACTTATGAGACTTAAGAGAACTAAATCCACTGAATCACAGAAAAGAAAATGTCCTATTAGGCTTCCATCAAGAAATCATATACCATGTCTGAGTGTTAACAGTCAGGTCACCAAGCCTGTTTCGTTGAACCGTGTATTCCAATTCTTGAGACAAAATTCAAAAAGTAAAGTGCATGTTTTCATTTTCTTGGTATTCCAAGGATCTGAAAACATATAATGTCTTACTTTTACCAATAAAGTCCACGTTCTCAAAGATTTCCATCATCACGTCCCTGTAGAATTTCTTCTGAGCATCATTCAACAAATCCCACTCTTCCTGGCTGAAGAAAATGACCACGTCGTCAAGAAAAAATGGTGCCTGAAACACACAAGGTATTCTGAATCGCTTGGGCACCATGTCCCAAAATGTGAATGAGAACCAAGAAAGGAGCTTCACATACATAGGACGCTAAGAAATTGTGTAGACATGACAAAAGTTCTATTTTCGGCCAAATTTCGGAAATTGAGTCTGTTGGGTATAGTTCATCTCCTTTTGAAAAGGTCTCTCAAAACAGTAAAGAAAATATCAAGGACAGAGTGAAAGCAGGGGGATGTACTATCATCATGAAAACATTTCAGAAAGTGATTATTTTCATCTGTCTCCTATATGTATGAGAGTACCTAGGTTTCACAGAAGGCTATAGCAAAGCACAGCCATGTTTATCGAGGCTTTGTTTACAATTTCAGGGAATTGGAAACAACCTAAGTGCCCACTGACAAACGAATGGATCGAGAAGCTCTATCACAATGGAATATTTTGCTGCACTGAAAAACAAAGAACTTATGAAATCTTATTCAAAATGAATGACCCTGGAGGACATTAGGCAGTGTGAACTATCTCAGTCACAAAAGGACAGATATAGCGTAGTGCCACTTTTGTAAAACGAGACTGACATCAGGATTGGGGGAGACTGAGAACGATGGGATAAATTATGTACAACGCATTGAAACAAATGAGGGCCAGAAATAATTAAAAGAGATCTATATTTAGGTATTATTAGCATGACAAGAGTCCAGAATTAAGGATGCAAAGTAAAGCGGACTTGGGGGTGGGGGTGGTCATGAGCTTGGTGGGACTGTTGGAAGAAAAAGGCAAGAATGAATGATTGTAAATCCAAAGTCTCTGTAAACATTTATTAAAATTTATAATAATAAAAATTTTCACATGTACTCAAAAAAGTATATAGCAACCCAAATTCCTATTTTATTTTTAGTAAAACACTATTTTCAAGTCATCAGCTGCTTCTCTAATAGAAAAAAATAATTGATTGAATTCCTGTCATACATATTACTCAAGGTTGCAGAAGACAGTAAAGTCCTTCTAAAGACACTCCTACAAGTTTCATGGGATCAAAAGTTCTTACATGTAGATTTAGTGCAGATTATCTGGGGTATTGGTAACGTATAATACGGACTAGAGCTCTGGTGCCCTAGAGATAAGAAACACAAAACAGAGGGTGTGAATACGACAGACAAGATTCTACTGGGACATCGTCAGGCTCTGCTCTGGAGATTGTGTCATTAAACACAGAGAATCAAGGCCCAGGTTGTGCATCACAGGTCGTGGGGACAGATCTGTGGGCGTCTAAGGAGAGTCACCATATGCAGCCCTGTCATCAAAGAGCATGGAGAATGAACGGGATGACTATTAAAGCAGCAAAGAGTTCGGTGTGACTGCTAGGGCCATTCTGGGAGCCTCTTCATCCACCTTTTCTCCTCACTGGGAAAGGACAATCCTTCACAAGGAAGGCAATTCCCAAGAATTTCCACCCAATGGCATCAACTCAAGGTTGAAAGGCCTAGCTCTCTAGAACTCACCATTTTGTACTCCACCTAACACAGGTCGAAGGCAATGATCTTTGTTAATCTGAAAAAATCACGTCAGGAACAGCATTCGAGTGGGAGACCATAGGAAGCTAGGGAAGTAGATGAACGATGACTGGTCCACACTCCCATTCACAGGGGCTCAAATCCTTCCTTGGGATTGACACAAACACAAGCTGGAACCTCTCCTTCCTCAGCTGCCTGGACTGGACACACTTAACAGCGCACTTGAGATCTGAAATAGACAATCAAGAGGAAATAATATTGACTTAGCAAACAGGAGGGAGGATTTTGGTTTCATTCACGTGGTTTGTCCTCTAGGGAGCAACAGTGCTAATTGCACAGTCAAGCCTTGGAAAAGTGGGGTGCACATGAATTGGTCGGGGATTCTAAAGAAAAAATACAAGGCATCACGCTTGAACACGCAGGAAATCATTGCTCTGATAACCTTTAGTTCTGTTCTGAGCAAAACTAATGTCAGGCCCACATGTGGATCAGGACTGTGTGGGACAGAATAAGGACAATTCGGGGGGGAGGGGAAGAAGAACGAACTGGGGAGGAGGGTAGAGAAAACAGTGCAGCAATGAATGAATGAAAACCCAAAATCTCTGTAAATGTTCTTTAAAACTAATAAAATTTAATACTAATTTAAAAAAAAAAGCCATACTCTGTCAACAACCAACCCAGAACACTTTGCCCTGAATCAGAGCAAACTCTATTGGTTTAGAAACATCTTATAGATAGAAAACTGACATGAGAAAAGGGGGGAGATGATAGGGTGGCACTAATAAGCTCAAGAATATTCACATATATTTTAGAGTTATAAAGTTGACACCAGGTGGCTCCAGCCTGCAAAACTGGCCACTTTTCCTCGGATCTTCCTTCTATTTCTTTAGTCCTGTAAAGTACATTAAATTTCTTCTTTACCAAGAGGGGAAGTTAATCTTTTCTGGATTACCAGGTATCTTTTAGAAACGGGTTTTTTTTTTTTTTTTTTTTAAGTTTGGGGTTGGGGAGGGTGTGTGTTTATTGTCAAATTGGATCTGGCAGGTACAAGAGGAGATTGTCCCTCCTTCAACAGCAGAGCATCTGGTATGCTGGAACCTACCGCCTCTGGGACTGCATCGCAGGTTCCTGCTACAAGGCCCACAGAGCTCACCTAGACACTGTTTTTCTCAATCTGGTGTAAATGGTACCTTCAACTGCTCATCAGGACGGAAAAGGCATCATTCCTGGATCAGCATTTACCTTTTCAAACCTAATTTTCTTAATCTTATGCAATAAATCTTATCGTAAAATATATGTGCATCACTAATTTTCCCCCCCTTTTCTTTTGGAGGGGGCACCTGGATATGAACCATTATCAGTAATTCTATAAAAACTGTTTTCTTTGAATGTTAAAATCCTGAAGCAATAAACAGAGAAATACTGATAGGTTCAGTGGATTAGCTTCTAACTCGAGGCTGTTTTCAAATTCTGTGGTTTTCACGGAGTAAAAGAGATAGGTGAAACAGATTGGCATCTAAACCATGCTTGTTTTAATCTGTTTTCTTGGAGTGTAAAGATCTTATCATTTTAAACTAGTTACAGTAATGTACTGAGTTTATTCAACCCTAACCCAGGTATGAAGATCAACTGCCATTTTTAGCGGGGAAAGCTGTTTTTGGGGGTTCTCTCTGCTTTCCCAGAACTGTCATCAAGCGCACTGGGAACGACAGTCACCCTGTCCTATGACCAAGTGACTTGGGAAAGAAGCCCTTGTGATCAGTGAGACGCTCCCCAAAGTCACGATGGA